GGGAAAAATGGGACAAAATTGAAGCATGAATTGAAAAATAGAGCACATAAGAGAAATATTATTAAATAAATAATATACCATTCCGGCGTTATTGAACTTGTCCAAACTATCATTGTAATGTAATTAAAGTTAAATAATAATAATAATAATAATAATTTCAGCATTAATTACCTTGGCCTAAGCCTTGTAATGAAGAACCTGCAGATACTGTACTATTTACTAGGCCTATAAATAATAATCGCCCAAGGGGAATATCTTTTGTTATTTCCCCTTAACGTCGTTTTTTTTAAATTGTTTTCTAATTCCTCCATTGTCTAACTTCCCCTTAAGGTACAGGTAATAATAATAATAATTAATAATTAATAATAATAATAATAATTTTAGCATTAATTACCTTGGCCTAAGGCCTGTAATGAAGAACCTACAGATACTATTTACTAGGCCTATAAATAATAACTAGCCAAGGGGATTATCTTTTGTGTTATTTCCCCTTAACGTCGTTTTTTAAATTGTTTTCTAATTCCTCCATTGTCTAAGTTCCCCTTAACGTACAGGTAATAATAATAATACTTATTATTATTATTATCATTTCGGCATTACATGTAATTAACTTGGTCTAGCCTTGTAATCAAGAACCTGCCGATTGCTATGCCTAATATTAATAAAACTAGCTCATTTTTCATTCATATGGTGCTCTGCCATTTTGGCAGGTCTTATAGCATCCAGTATTTTATAGCTGCCTATTCTCAGCTCTTCTCTTAATTTGAAAATAACTGTCACTCTGTTTCATTTGATCAGTGATGAAGAAAAACGCGCTTTTCCTTCTGTGCTTTTCCCAGAAGCGTTTTTAGTAGGCCTACTTGTAGGCCTAGGTAATTATGCAAAACCCAGGCCTAACTAAAAAATAAAAATTGTCATAGTATGTAACTCAAGTTAAAATAACACTTTTCATTACTCGTGGAGCTTAATCAAATATTATATGTCATTTTAAACGACCCATTGCTATTAACATGGTAACATCAATGTATTTTAAAAAATTAGACAGCGACGTTCTCTCAGAAGTTGTTCTGTAGACGTTTATGTGTTGACCTTTTGACCTCCTGAATTCTGCAATGAGATTTTCGGGTCGATTCAGCCGAGACGGCCCGAGTGGAGTTTCATGTTTCGTACGGGAAAAAAAATCGCTCCCCGCGACTCCCATTTCGAAAGTTCGCTAAAAACTACAGCGCCGGGAGGCGGTCGGAGCCTTCCATTGCACAGTTTACTGTGCACTGAACCACCTTCTTCCTTTATTCTTTGAATTGTATACTTAAATAATATAGTAATAGCATGGACCTATTAATAATAGGTCCATGGTAATAGGTATATCCGTGGCCTAGCTTAGGCCTAAACAAGTGACTATGTGAGTGTATACAAATTATGAAAAATATGAATAAACGCAAAATTGTGAAAAAAAAATAAAGGAAGAAGGAAGAATAGGAAAGAGAATTTGAGCAGCTGTAATATTTTCCGGAAATATACAATAGTAGTCAATATGCTTTTGGGCACTAATCGTCAGAGGTCTCGGTGCTATGCCTATTACTATATTATAAATATACCATTTGAAGATTAATTTAACATGGAGATAGTAATTTATCCTTAAACAATACATTAAATTTAAATAAAAATGTAATAATGTTAACGAATCAATAACAATAATTCAAACGTGTACATAGCATCAGTACAGCAATAATAATACTATTTTTCAATCTTATAATCAATTTCATATAGCCGGAACTCGTCAGTATTAAAATACGGATATATGGATATATATACGGCCACCGCGGATATAATAATTTTTATCAGACACACTCACTAAAGTAGTACGTTCCACTTACCACATACGGTACTGAATACTCTGCTGGTGGGTCCACATATTTAAGGAGGGGTGCAAAAAGAAGGGAAGCTGCTTACTATATAATTAACATCTCCACAATTTTTTTTTTTTTTACCTGCTAAAATTTAAAAGCACTTTAACATATTAAGGGTTGTGGGTGGGGGACGACCAATCGCAAAATAATAATAATTGTTTTTTTAATAAGCGCCTCATTTACGGTACCTACCTGACATAACAAAACTAATGCATAGCGATGAAATAAAAAAGAAGCAGTTCAACATTTTCAGCATCCTGGCTGTCAGGTTTTTACATCTACGAATTTTGACTTCGAGACTCAATTTGACATATGTGTGTTACTATCAGTGAAGCAGTTTTACGAGAATTTAAAAGCAACACATTAATGCAGAGCTGTCCAATCAGTTTTCCAATTTGTCGGTACAGTTATATTTTGAGGTAGAGCATTAGACCAATCATAATTGCGACTGATAATGAATGCCATTATTCATGTTATTAATGACATGTAAAAGAAAACGTGTCAACTTCTTGTGAGTTTACACTGGTGTAGAATCTTCGCTTTTTATATAGTACAGTAATTTTCCTTGCCTCCATACAATTTTAAGGCTTACCCACGTTCATTCAGTGAAACTTCTGGCTTAAGGTCATACACATTAATCAAGACATAGTCATATGCGGGCTGTGCATTCAGATTAAATACCGTAAGGGCTTATATCAATATAATATGGGGAGTTGAAAAATATTGAGATACATTTGTGTGATTAAGATCATTGTATAGAAAAATGTCCATTGATAAGGAGAAAATCACTATATGGGAATAATGTACAATCTAATATAATAATAATAATAATAATAATAATAATAATAATAATAATAATAATATAATCATTTGCGAATTTAATACTGCTAAACTAGCAAAAAATTGTCTTCAACTTTATTAAACATATTCCTACTGGGGTCTTCCATGATAAAAACTGGACAATGTGACCATCTTTGCTGTGAAATAGGTATTTGGCAACTGTTTTATGATGATTTTGAAATACTTTCAATAAGATAATTGAGAAATAATTGGAGGTCTTCGTTTTCCGGGTCTTTGGTCTTCGTTTGTAGACACCAGGGTGTCTTTAAAACGAAGACCCTTCAACATTTCACAAGCAGACACACAAGAAAATTCCTAATTTTGATTTTGTGACAGCCTTGTGTATTATCAAAATAAAAGAGAAAAAATAGGGGTATTTGTTTTTTGGTTTTCGGTCTTCGTTTTATAGACACCCAGCTTTAGGCTTTGGAAATGGTGTTGTTTTTAGGCATGAGCAAAACATTATGTTTATATTTTAAGAGTATTTGAACTTAGAAGTCTGTGGTAGACAAGACTATGCTACAGCCTTGCTTACTGTAATATTCTGTTATGTGGTACCTGTGATGTTTTTCTCTCAATCATAATTCAGAGCGTCAGGTAGAATGTTATATGAATAATGAATGTTTATTTTGCAATGGGAAGAATATTTTCATTCATTTAAAGATTGACTGTTCCATTCAACGAGGTGGAGCTCCCACTGGGAGCCTATTTTTCAATCTGCTGACATGTTTTGTTTTAAAATCCACTCTGCTATATGTTTTAACAACATACAAGAACAATGGTGTGTACTGTATTATTAAAACTAAAGCACACGCAATAACTGCGGTGTTTTTACTTACAAGATAGAAAAGAAGCTGGACTAACTGTCCAAGTAAGTATAAGATTAACAGTAATTGATGATGTCATCAATCCTTAATGATGTCATATGCATTCTTGATGATGTCATTTAAGACATATTGGTTGTTCATGATGTCATAACTGTCAGGTCCATACTGTATAAGCATCTATGCGATGCCTCATGCTAAAATTGATGGTAAATTAGGACAATGCCATGATAACAGGAAAGAATTAAAATGAAAAGAAAATAATGCCTTTAAGTTTCTGCATTTTTATTTTGTTTAGTATTCAAACTTGTAATATAAATAAGACAGACATCTCTCATTAAAGAAATCCATTAATAGTCCTATCAATAATATTTGTTTTCCATTTTTTCCAGCATGTACTATGTCCACATTTTACTAAGGAAAGTTGGAGATTTTCAGAATAATGATGATGTTCACACTGAGGTAAGAGATTGAAATTTTGTTTCCCAATTGTAGCTGTATGTTTTTGTGTTTAGAATTCTCTGTCAATGAAGTACAGCATGTTAAACACTGGTAATGCTTTTACAGATTTTTAGTAGTTATTGAACGCATAATTCCAGACTACAATACGATTTAAACTACGGGAAACATTCTGCTTCTTGGACCTAGCACTACTTTTCAGACCATAGTTCCTGTCTCCTTTCTCGAACTATTATAGTTCTTTCGTTGCCACTCAAGTGTTTTGGGTATTCCTGTGGTCTCTTGCCGCCTAGTGATAGATATTCTCTGTTAGATATGTCTTTTTTTGTTTAGATATGTTAATTCACACTATAGTTCTAATTTTGTTCGTCTGTTCGGTCTTCATGTTAATTGTCGATTGTTACGGTCTTTGCACGTTTTTGATGTTCTTTTCAATCGTGTTTGTTTTTTTAAACGGAGTTTTATCTCTAGGTTACCTTATTCTTACAATCGTATTGTTTCTGAAAATAGTAACATTGATATCTTTTTTTTAACAGTTTTAAATATTTCCATCAATTTTCTTATCATCAAGAATGAGTTAAAGTCCCCAATTCTTAAAATTTTCTCACCCCAGCCCCATTCATTTGGATGGGGCTCAGGTGGATATAGCCATTTTTGTAGTTTTTATATATTAAATTGCCATTTTCTGGTATAAAAGTCAAATTCTTACAATTGTCTTACCTCAGCCTCAACAATGGATTGGTAGTTTTCAAAGATTTTAAGTATTTAATTGCCGTTTTCGGGCATCTAGAGTTTCAAATTATTAAAACTTACTTATCTGCCTCCCAAAACCAAGGTGGGGCTCAGGTAGGTATTGTAAATTTTGTACTATTCAAGTGCTATTTTTGGGCATCTATACGAGTCTCAAATTCTGAAACATTTTTCCCCTGAGCCCCAATCATGGTTGGGCTCAGTTGGGTATAGTAGTTTTTATGATTGTAAGTATTTAAGTGCCATTTTCTGGTACGGTTTTTTATTAGACAATTCGTCAAACATAAAAAGAATTAAAAGGTTAAATTTAAGTTCCATTTCCGGGCATCCAGCCATATAAATTACTGAAATGTTCGCTTCACCGTCAACCATAGTGGCGCTGACGTGGTGTGGACTCTCATTTCATCAGCACCTACCTTCTTAAATCCTGCATACGCCACTGTTGCTGAAAACAACAGTTCAGCCAAATATATTTTCATTTATTTTATTGTTCATTTGAAATGTCTGATAGGTTATTACTTTAAAACAATGCTAAAACACACAGTATCAGTGCCAGCATAGACACATGTACGACTGAGCTGAGCGACTGACTCCAAATTAGTAGTGGGTGGTTATGTAACGTTTGTCATGCACAGTATTATGCGCTATAGAAATGAAAGACCATCATTACACTGGAATGTACCTCTTGTAGGATCTATAGTACAATCAGTGTAAAAGTGTAAGACATAGGCTAGTGTGGATTTAAACAATGTCCTAATGGTAATATTCAATATAAGTATCAAGGAAATTAAGTATGATTGTTGGAAAAATGATCAACATTTATTTTTATTTCTCATCCTGACCTTTGCCTGTGCGAAGTGGGCGAAGGTTTGGATCCGCACCTGTATTATGATGACTTGTATTCACAAGTTCCGTTTATTTCTAATTTTTAGCACAAAAATGTAAAATAAAAACTCACAATAATGTTGGTGTATACTTCTATTTTCGAGAAGTAGTAAGCTTACATAATATTATAAGTCATTTGACATTTAAATGTGTAGACCCTATCTTGTAGGTACGTAAACTATTACATTTACTTAAAAAATGAATATTAAACAAACAAAAGACCAAGGGAATGACTGCCACATTGCATTCACATGGGCACCGGAAGGAAAGCAAAGACGAGGAAGACCAAAACCAACATGGAGACGAATGGTGGAAAAGAACGAAAAAAAGAACGATGGACATCATGGTGGGGTGGGGGAGAGTAAAACAACGAGAGTTGCAGCAGCCAACAGAGATAGATGGAGGCATTCTTTTGAGGAATATGCTACACATGACGCGAAGAATTTATTAGGATGAAAATATTAATGGATTAACGACTGAGTATGAATAATTACCCTACTAAAAGTGCCATGTGCAGCTGTTTGTTTCTCAGCGTATAATACAATAGGCTCCTTTGACGATGAACATGTTTTTTTTATATAGTGCTTTTAAATAAGCATAATCCTACGATAATTGGAAGGTTCTGAATATTTAAAATTCAATGAGCAAGTTGCTTTCGTCTGAATCAATCAATATTAAAAGAAGTAGAGAGAGTTTAATGTGTTCATTTATCTGAATCGATCGATCATGTGAATCAATCAACATTGAAAGAACTATTTCATTATCTCATGAGAGGCCTTTATGCATATACTTCAGATTGTTACATCGTTTTTGTTGGCAACTTACTTAATTAAAAAGTACAGTACAGTCAACTCTTCATAACAATTCCATCTCTCTTATTGGTTACTATATTAAATATTTTTAATAGCAGAATATTCATGGAAAAATTAACGAATTGAAATTAGGTGGCCAAGCTTGATGACCAAAATATAGAACACCATAATGCTAGGGAAGAGGGGGGGGGGGAGAATAAATTTTTATTTTTAAAGTTATTGTATTAGTTTAATTAAATTAAATAATTAAATAATTGTCTGTGTAATAATACAAAAATATATATTTTATAATGTTCAATGTATATCTCTTTTTTATACCTTTTTATGTAGTATTCTGTATCTATTAATGTGCAACCTTTCACATCTCTTTTTTGTTCGTTGTGACGTTAATTCGTTGAATTGGTATGTAGAGGTGTTTGAAACCTGTTCATCTATTCCCTTTCGCTGATTTTTCTGTATTGTTTTTCTCTTACCTTCGCTCGTTGTGTATGCAGTGATGTAGCTTAGTAAATAAATTTTAAAAAAGAAACTCTTTAAATGAAATTTATTTTTCATAATTTTATACAATCTGTGGACGTTTTCGGTCCCCTGTCCAGGTCCCCAAGCCTAACGGTCTTGATTGACACTTCAAATCAAAAGGCTCACAAATATATCTTGCAATGAGGCCCATCATCATCTCCCTACGCTGCTGGTGCGTTTATTCCCGTTTATGCGTGATGATCGCTAGTCAGTGAAAGTGTCCGTAATAAAGCAACATT